TTCGTGGGGTGCGTTACCCGTACCTGCAAACCGCCCAATACGAGCCGAGGGCTCAATGAATATGAAGTCAAAGCGTGTTTGCAACCAAGCCGTAGTTGAAATTACACATATTAACGTAATGATTTGTCCACTCCTGTCTGGAACTACAGGCATTTTGTGCGGCATGTGCTGCCGCTTCTATGAGCAACGCTTATGATGTGTATATCCACATGTCATCATGGCCTTCATATGGCGCGTCAACCTTTCACGGGATAGGCAGAGGGCCAATTCCACGGGGTACGTTCTTTAGCTAACATGTATCCATGAACATAGAATTTCTTTATCCAACAGACTGCTGTAACCGTTACAGCGTGCACGCTGTAACGCGTCACGCGTGACGCCAGACAAAGGGTATACTCGTCTGGGGGATGCCAGGGGGGCCGAGCCTTTCTCACATTGCAATTGCTTCCCCCTTTGAGCGAGCGTGCTCGGCGCCGCGAGCATAACCCATAAGATTTATCGGGTTAATTGACTTACGTATCGCCTACCCAGGCAAGGAGTATGCTGCATAATGCCTGACGTTCGTTAGGTTCGTTATCGGAGTCGATCTTGGAAGTTCACACCTTCTAGCAATATGCACCACTTTAACACTAACACTAACAGACTAAGTGTACTCAGGGCGGTGGAAGGAATGCGAGCCCTTCTTACGACCGTCGCCTGCCTGCACGCGTGTCACGCGTCATTAGTAAAGTTTTTCATCACCTACCGGCGGCACCCTTGTGAACTAGTTAGGGAGCTTCCAGGCTGGCTCCCAGTCAACCACAGCTACATTGTGACACGACTTCTCGTGCAATGAAAATCGTCTAACTTGATGTCCACTATATGTGGTTCGTCGGGGTCGGGGTCGGGGTACAAATCGAAATATAAAGTTCCAGTACTCAAGCAAAATACACACGGGAAACAAGGAAATTTGTCAAGTATGACCGCCTGCGTAGAGATTACCTATAGAGATTACCTATCTATTTTTATTTTCAGCCTGGGCTCAGGCTGCCTCGAGGCAGGCCTATCTGTTATACCATGATTGCAGGACCTATAGATCATTCTATAACATGGATCTACATACAATCTATTTCTCGGTCCTATCTATTATACGATGACGCTGTCTGTAAACCATAAAAATCTTTACCGATATTCTTATCTTACCTGTGATGCCTACCTCCGCTGCATCCGCTCCGCTCCACTGCTGTCACTGCAGTGGAGGCCGCCTTCGCAGGTTTCCTCATGCAGTCATCTGCACTGCTTGCTCTCATCATCACCCTAGGATTAGTAAATGACAAATCCAACGGCAGGCCTGCCGTGGTCGCGGCCGTGGATAACTCTACATGACCGCCAGCTTAATGTATATATTATAATAACACACAGCCTCCAACTGTGTACCGAAGAGCCCCCCAGTACCTTCTCAGCAGCTAGATCTAGAGCCCGCCGCCAGGAGCGCTATAGCTAGCTAATAGCACCTGCTGTGTAGACACACCCCTGGCATCACGATGGTGTACAAGAGCTATAGCCATCGGGGTCCCAGCCCAATGGCATACTCCAGGCCGGTTCCGGCCCGGTTCCGACCTAACGGGTCCAGTTAACGAGATGGGTAACCGGTCGGTAGGATTACCGGGCGAACCGTTATCCGTTAACCGTCCCCAGTAATCGGTAACCGATGTCGGTAACCTGGCATGAGGAAAAATGCATTTCTGATTGCAACCAGTTTCTTTGTGACAATGCCCATTGTCACAAGGTTCATGCCCACGTGTCACACCCCGACAAGCTTAGGAGGTTAAGGCAATGTGAATGCCGGGTGACAGGGGTGACAGTCTTGTGCAGGCACATTTGGAGACTAGTTTACACTGAGATTGGGGTGATGTTGGATTAGAATACTTGCAGTTCATGAAATTGAGGAAATGTGTTGCATAGGCATATCCAAACGTTTCAGAGGGACGTTGTTTCGCCCGTAACAAACTTGTTACGGGCGAAACAAACTGGATTTCCACAGTCCCACCACTCAAAGAGCTCCCCACACCATCGCAAAGTCCCTTTTTTATTACAGACACATGTAACCAGTTGTCATAGCTTGAGATTGTCGATATATGACTGCTGGATTGTGACCAGGCCATCTCCTTACATGTCTTGCTGCACCAGCATGAGCAGTGATCCCTTCTGTTCAAAACTTTCAGGCAACATCGCAATGAGGCAAAACATTGTGCCGAATCTGCCGTACAAAGAGTGTTCAAAGCTTCACGCTACTAACGGACGAATACATAAGCATTCATTTACCTTGAAAGAATAAAGGAATTCTATAGCTTCATACAAATTCGCCTATCAGCAACTCTCCCTGGTCGTTCAAAAGTTGCTTGAAGATTCTACCATCTCCATACTATGAAGGAGCGCTTCTTCATTTCTTCATTTTATCGGAACCTTAACGTATCCTTCCAACACAATGTCCATGGACAACGGTAATGAGGTCGGCGCCTACGAGTTTGACCGGAACGCCCTGGACAACATCGCCCGTCGGCGACAAGATCGCCCACGCAAGAAATACAGCCAGCATCGTCCAGTGGATGAGTTTGGAGTACATAAGTTTGCCAGGGCAAACAATCTAAGTCAATTTACCGCGTGCCAATTGGAGGATGCCTTGTCCAAGGAAAGGTGCCACATGGACGACCTTGTGTTAGTTTAGTTGTTGCATGTAAGCTTGTGAGTTGGTGGCCTGGTTCATGCTTATGGGCGACAATTGAAATGCCGGGACAATGACTTATTAGGGACATTGACACGGCATTTCACGCCCTCAAAGCGGGAACAAACGCTAAAACTAAATACATACATAGTTCTAAATCTTCTACTAAAATTTTCCTGCAGCGTTAGAGGCCTTTAATTAATATTGGCGAACGCTGCTTCCCGCGCTACCGGGATACTCCCTATGGCATAAACATGCCGGTTACCGACCGTTTGGGGCCCATTAACCCAACCGACCGTTAACCCAGCTGAT